TGAAGGTGCAGGAGGCAAAATGCTAAGAGGAACCAGAAGTCAGAAGAAAGTCAGTCTTGGTGAGCTTAGCCAGAACCATGTGACACTCCAGGAGCAGGACAGAGACAGCACGAGGGCCAGCACATGTGGTCACCGTGCCGTGGAGGGCCTGGCTTCTCAGGATGGGGACTCCCCTTGCTGGCTGCCACTGGGTCTCTACATCACTGCAGCTTTGCACACTCCGGGACAAGTGTGCCCGGGGAGGAGGGGAACTGTGTTTGCTTCTGGGAGACTACACAGAAGTAGGGAGCCATCCCAAGAAGGAAACCAGTGACAGCATCTCAGGTCCTGTCGGCAGTGACGGTGATGTCGGCCTCAGCTTGGCCCACAAGCCTGGAAAGTGGAAAACCATTTTTAAAAACTGGCCTACAACAAACCACAGCCAGAGCTCAACACAAGAAGAAAGATTCACCAGTCCCTGTGTTTACAACTCTGCTTTATTTATCACTCAACCTACTGTATCTTAAGAAAGGTTTTAGGCAACCTATAAAAAAAAAATAACAAGGATTTTTGAATTCTACATGGTTTGGTTTTTTTTGGTACTGGGGATCGAACTCAGGACCTTGTGCTAGCGAGGCAGGAGGCAGAACCACGGAGCTAAACACTGGCATGATTTTTATTTTAAAGCTGAACTCTGAGCTCTTTGGAAGCCAACACTAAAAGAAAGGTCTACTTGGTCAACTGGAAAATTTTTGTTGCAAAAAATTACAAGTTGAGGATCCTTTATTGAAAATGCATGCTTCTACAGATTTCATCTGTGAAACAAAGCACCAGAGTGTGGGATCTCCCGCCCGTGGCAGCCTGTCAGGACTCAAAAGGCTGCAGACTCAGGAGCATTTCAGATTTGGGGTTTGGGGTGCGGGGTCGCTCTCCCTGCTGTGTGTCCTCACTCTTGTGTGGAGTTGAGCTTTCATTCAGGTTTGGAAAGATTTCCCACCTGGGACTTCGCAGGCTGTCAGCTACGAGCTGCGGCAGACAGTGTCCAGTGTCAGCGGCCACGCTCTGGCAGGCAGAGCTAGTGAGAGCTGCCCACAGCGTCTTCAGCCCACAGGAGGCAGCCACGACCTTCCCCAGCCCGGCCGGTGGCTGAGCACCCTGGTCCTCGCCGCCCCAAGAGTCCCCAGCCCCTCTCAGCCATGGGAAGTTGTGCAGGGTGAAGTTCTAGAAGCAGAAGTGACCGTTTTGTGAGCAAAGGCAGGCGCTCACTGCACTCGTAATACTTTTGAGTAGGGAAAGGGCTGGGGCGGCCTCAGTGTCTCCAGGGGCCGCACTGAATGTGCCGCTGCTCGGATGCTGCTCTGACCCCTGCCACCATGTGGCCAGCACCTTCCCGACCTCCTCCCGTTCACCAGGAACAAAGGTCACTGCGCAGCTTTCCCCGCCACTGGCTGCTGGCCAGCGGCCGTTCCCACGTCCTGTCTGTGACGCCGTGTTCGCACACAGCCTCTCACTTGGACGGGTGCCGGCCTGGGCCTGCCGGGTCCCTTTCCGGGGCCTCTGTGCCCTGCTGCTCCTCAGCCACAACTGCCAGGGCCAGGGAGGGCGCCCTCCCCCGAGGCCCTCCGAGGCTCCCTCACGCCCTGCATCTCTGTGTGGCCCGGCCCCAAGACAGACTTGGGTTTTGAGGGTTTTGTTCTGTTTCTGTTTTTGTACAACTTGCAGAATGGTGCTCGGTGCAAATCAGCACTTCATTAATAACTGCCGGGTGGACGGGTGCGGGAACTCGCAGTAAGTGGCTGAAGGCCTGAGCAGGTGCGACTCTGAGTTAGGGCACCCTGCGGCTGAGCACCCTCTGTCCCCTGCACACGCACAGGTGGACGTGTCCTTTGCCGCCCACTCCGGTCTCCGTGACTCGGCCAGATGACTCGCTTCCTCCAGACTTGCACATCTCCACACTATCTCCAGGAGGGAGCAGGCTTCTAGGAAACAGCAGAACCCTGCCCGCTTTGCCCCAGGGATGGGAATTGGTGTTTGCTGTTCAGCATGTGGGGCTTGGAGTAAGAAAAGCCAAATGGCAGAGCCTGAAGGAACCCAGAGTCCAGAGACTTCTGCCTGTTAATTAATGTCTAGGTCTTGCAGAGTGTTTTTTTCTGGTGTGATTTTTGGCCATATGGAGGCTTGTGTCTTCTGCAGGCTGCTGTTGGTTTGCTCCTCCACTCTCACATGTAGTACAGCCCCTGTCTGGTTGTGGGTGCTGGTACCGCGAAGCTTCGGCTTCCTGAAGGGAGGGGAACCCTGTCTCCCCTGTGAGTTTGTCACCCAGAGTCAGCATGACGGCCGTACTGAGCTTCCCAGGGACCTTGTGGCTGGACTATTTCCCGTGCACTTACCTGTCGACTGGAAAAACAAGTGTGCAAATGCAAACAATTGAGTAAGAGCTACATAAGGCCCCGCGTCTTTTGGTAAAAATAATAGGACTTTGTCCAAATTGAACAGTATTTGACAATTTGCAACATTTTATTTTCATTTTTTAATAAAGAAAATTAAACAGTGCTCTTCTTTACTTCTATGTAGAAATAAAACAAAATAACAATAGTTAATACATTGTGTATTGTGAGCTTAAAAGAATGAGCAAAATGTTACTCAGTCCAAATCACAGGCAAAAAAGATTCACTGTTACAAAGAAGAAACAAACAAAGGACAAAACTTTCTTATCAATGAAAAAAAGAAACTCATGGTATAAAGTGAAACAAACTAGCATGTATCTTAGGGTATTTTTGAAACCCCAGGAGAGATGCTGTCAAACAACCCGTGATAGAAAGGAGGTGACTTGTTACTCATTACAGAGAATCAAAACTAGAGCCCAGAAGGCAAGCGCGGGCCCAGGGTGCACGTTTAGTGGCTGGAAAAGCTAGAATGGGAACGTTGGCCACCACCACCCTGAGGAGCCCTTTGTGCAGCTCCAGGGGCAGCAGAGGCTGAGGCTCAGGTGCCACTGCTGCAAGGGCGGAGGTGGGTCTGTGAGTGAAGTGCCCGAAAAATGCCAACCGAGTGCGTCCCTAAGAGAGAGACCCAAAAGTGCTTGGAGCCAGGTGGGCTGGACACAGCCAGCTCTGTCCCTGACCCTGACGAGGCCGTGTGGAAAAGGAGCAGCTCACGTGTCCTGGGACCCTGTGACAGCAGCCTGGAGGACAGTGGCAGCTCTGCATCCCGGTGTAGTTGCCCATTCCCAGAGATCACGGGAGAGGAAGAATCCCTATTCAGACCGAGCAGGAGTTTCTGAGCCCTCATCAGCGAGCTCGGCCTGGTCCAGGAAGTTGGGGTGGGCTGCTCGGCTCTGGGCAGATGGGGTCGGGCCTGAACCCTCGCTGCACTGAAGACCCCTGAGCCAGCCTTGCTGTACTGCCCACCCCGTGCCCTGGGCAGGACTAGCCCCGCACCCGTGCTGGGGTCCCTGCTGAAGGAGGGGGCTCACTGCACCCTGATGGCCCTCTGGTCTCTGAGGCCTTTCCTGCAGGGCAGCTGCTGTCCTCCCCAGGGTCAGAAGTGCTCTGTTTGCGAGTCATTCCTAACCCTGAGAGCACTAGGAAAACTGGAGGGGTTTAGAGCGGACCTTATTCTTATTGGCACAAGTTTTTGGTACATAATGACTGTAAGGTTTGGCCAGAGCACGAGCGAGACCACCAAGGCCGGCAGAATCTAAGCAGCATTCCAGGAGTTTATCCCCATCTGGGTGCAGATGGGCCAGGGGGAAGACGGCCATTGCCGCGGGGCTTGGTTCTGGGGGAGCAAAGGGCAGGGAGGGTGAGGCAGGGGAGCTGCTGACGGGGTCACTGGGGGAGAGGCTGGAGGGCTGAGTCGTCGTCGGGAGGGGCAGAGAGGGGGTGTTCAGGGTGGAAATGAGTCTGGCAGGTGGCAGGAGGAACAGGGAGCGAAGTCTGCCGAGAGCAAAGAAGGCCTGGGCATGTGGGGCCTCGGGCCGTTTTCCCAGCTGGCGGCAATAATTGTCCAGGTCTTGGGGAAGTGAGAAGTCAGAAGTGCCCTTTTCAGGCCATTTGGAGCCATTGTCTAGTTTGTACCGTGGCCGCGGCGAATTACAGAAGAAAATGAGAGGTTTGGGCTTCAGGTCGGGAGTGGGAGTGGGATGAAGAGGCTTGGGGTTCTGAGAGCACAAGGGGAGAGGAGGGCAGGACAGAGGGAGGGAGGCGGGCCCTAGCGATGCCTGACGCCGGAGACCAGACCGGGGCTTTTGGGAAAAGGACAGCTCCTGGGCAGTCCTTTCCCAAAGGGAGCCGGGACAGTGAGCAGGTCAGGCGTCCCGAGACTGGGCGGCCGTCAGGAAACCTAGCCCCGCAGATGCAGATGCGACCAGCACTGGGTTTCCAGCACCCTGTGAGCCTGAGCCAGGTCACACAGAGCCCTCTGGGCAGGAGAGGTTCAGACAGGGAGCGGCGGGTGAAAGGTGCAGTAAAAGTGTCTCTCACTGGCCTGAAGAGAAGACCTGGACTAGCAGGGAGCTGCAGCAGCGGGAGGAGGCCAGAGGTCACATGTCGGGTGCACTCGAGCTGTGCGGTGGGTTCGGGAGGAGCTGGGACCCTCCTGAGAGGAGCTCGGGCCTCCCTGCACTGGTCTGGGGGACACGACTGTGACCACCGAGGCAGGCAAAGTCGAAGCAGTGAGGCGAGGAGTCATGGTGACCAAGGGCGACAAGCCACTGGCCTGGGAGGAGGGTGCAGGAGTGAGCAGGGCTGAAGGCGAGGGGTGGCCTGGCCCCCGGCTTCCTCGCAGATGTCTGGGCGGCCTGGGCAGAGTCCACAGTCTCGGGCTGCCATGCTTCTCTGGAGTGGGGACGGGGGAGCGGCCGCCCAGCCGTGGGAGGGGAGGAAGTCAGCGCAGGTTCCACGGGGCCGGCTACAGAAGCTGCCGGGGCAGCGCAGCGCAGCGGGTCTGTCCGCGCTGTCCGGTGACTTCCTGGGCCGCCCGCCGGCCCTCCTGACTTCGCTGTTCTCTGTGCTCCACAGGGCAGCAGGCCCTGGGCTTGGTGGAGAACCAGAGTGACTGGTACCTCGGGAACCTGTGGAAGAACCACCGCCCGTGGCCGGCCCTGGGCCGGGGCTACAACACAGGTAACCCGGGGCTATGGGGGGCGGGGCTACAACAGGTAACCTGGCGGGGCAGGGCCCCCAGGGGGGAGGCGGAGCACACAGCCCGTTCTTCCCAGGCCGATCCCAGAGGGCTCTGCACTAGCAAAGCGGCCGGCCTAGGGGCTTTGCTCTCCTGAGGCGGCAGCGGCTCCTCCCCTCAGCTCCTCTCCTGGGCGGGACCTGGCTCCTCACCCTGTGGGCTCCGTGCACCTGGACACAGCAGAGTTCGCACCAGAGACTCAACCTCAGCCCCTCTGCACTCACCAAGGCATGTCATGTGACTTCCGCCCTCAGAACACATGGGCACGCACAGGCGCCCGGCCAGGCACGCTTGGAGTGATCCCCTGACACCACGGCCCCGAATGCCACGTGTCTAGAGCCGCATCCTGTGTCCCGCCTCGCTGTGAGCCCTTCTCTTTCCCGTCCATCGCTGCTTTTCAGCCACTGTGCAGCAGCTGTCCAGTGGCCCTGCTACAGGCTGACCCGACTCACACGTGAGTGAGCACTGAAACGGGGCGACCTGCGCCCTCCCCCGGCCGCGTCCTGCCCTGTCTGTCTGTCAAGGCCTCTGGATCCTCTTGCCTCTCCTCCCGGCCTCATTGCAGGTGCCAGGGAGCCCTGTTCTCCAGGGAAGCAGACTTGGGGTCTTTATCAGGATTTGAACCTGGAGCCCAGGAAGGAAGGGCAGGAGCCCAGCTCCTGGGACAGCACGCGTGCCGGGTGGGGCCCGTCCCCGGGGCCCGCATCACTGAAGGTGCTGTGAAAGCTGATTCTGGGGCTGCGGTGAGGAGAGCACAGAAACGCCAAGCAGGAGCGCAGCCTCCCGGGCAGAGGAAGGGCAGGGGTCGGTCAGAGTTCGGCACGGCGCTGGCGGAGGCCAAGGAAAGGAGGAGCAGCGGCGCGCCCCTCGCACCCAGAGGCTGTGGCCAGGGGGCCCCGCGCGGTGCACCAGGACTCCCTGGGTCATCACGGAGGGCCCAGGCGGGCAGGGCTGTGGAGGACGGGTCGCAGCTGGTCAGCAGGGCGGGAAGCAGGGCAGCACTCCAGTCACCATTAGGGCGGCACCCGCGTCCCTCGAGTGTCACCCAGGCACCATGCCACATGCCGTGCAGCATTCACCTCTCGTGATGCTCGCGAGCCCCGAGGAGAGGCAGGCGCTGTGTCCTCTCCTTAAACCAGCGGACGCTGACACCTGGGAGCCGGCAGCTGCAGCCCCAGTGAGTGAAGACACCTGCGTGATGCCCGCCAGCCTCCCAGCGTGAACTGTCAGGGCTTTGGGTTCAAGCTCTTTGTGAAGGAGCCGGCGGGCGCTGGGGGCCCAGGGTCGGTGCTGTCTCTGGAGCAGAATCTCCCAGGACTGCACTGCGGGAGCCAGGCACGCGTGTCCCGGCAAGGCCTCCCGGAGCTGTCCTCCCAGTGCTCCAGGCCAGACCTGGGAGCCATAGCAGCCAGGGGGAGAGTGGCAGGCAAGTGACCCCCGTGCTTGTGAGGCAAAGGGGTCTCAGAGAAACCCGGTGTGTGCGCTGAGCTTCCATCCTCAGGATGCAGAGTAGTGGAAAGGTCACACCCAGGTGCGCACAGTGCCCGATGACACGGAACCAGCCCACCGTCCTCAGCCCAGCGCACGGGGAACAGGGTTTTGATGAGAACAGCGCTGTGTCCCCTTTGCTGCAGAAGCTGGGGACAGGAGGCCACCCCTCAGGTGCCAGCTCTGAGCAACTCCGGCCTTGCTGGTGCCTAAGGCGGACGTACAGCAGGAGCCTGGACAAGCAGTGTGCCCGCTTAGACAAGCCTCACCCAGACAGTAGGTTCCAGTGGGAACTGCGGCCTCTGCTGGGCCTCCAAAAGGCTCTTTCCACACAGCCCCTCTGAGCCTCGCTGCATGTCGGGATCTCCCGGACAGTGGGGTGAGAACGGCAGCCCTGGCCACACAGCATTACCTCCTTGAGCCCTGGCTCTGCCCTCGTAAGACCGATGACACCCGTGTGGGCACTGACAGTCACCAAGGTGCCTTGCCCGGCATCTGGTGCAGAATTGGTCCTGAATACATCTTAGCAGTGGCCTCTTGCATTTTATACCACTGACCAGGTCAGGAAACAGGGTCCACCTCGTGAAAAACAGTGTGTGCATAGTTGTCCAGGGTTTGCCAGAGTCACCCGGGTCCCGGGTCAGAAAGAAGCAGGAAGCACTTCATTCTCACCCATATTCATGCAGCCATCTTGTCCACTATCTGCACAAATGCTGCCGTTTTGTATTATTTTAGGGGAAACTGGCCTCTCTGGTTCATGTGTCAGCTTCCCAGCTGTGTTCTACCTTGAAAACCCCAGTGAGGCAGGGGCTGTGTGGGAGACCCGTCTGCCTGTTGGAAGCCCCCCAGTCTGCAGAGCTGTGGCCGAGGGCCTGCTGTGGGCTGTGGGCTGCTGAGCAGGTGCCTGTGGGCAGGGCACTTCAGGGGCCGGGTGGAGCTTGTTCTCTTCCTGCTCTGGTGGGCTGCAGGTGGACCAGATCCAGCCCTTCCAGCCAAGCCCCTGCTACGCACCCGAGTCTCACACGAATGTTCTTCCCGGCATTAACTTGGGAAGCAGCTGTTTCCCTTGAAAGATCCAGTGAGGCTCCCACTCTTTCTCTTTTGCTCTTCTTTCCCAGTCTGCTTTCACAAAGCCAGGGTCCCTGGAAGACTCAGGAGAGAGCTGCCCTTCCTCAGTCCCTCCCTCCCTCCCTCCTTCCGGGAGTTGCTTATAGCTTGCTTTCATCATCGCACAGCTGCAGGTGGCATGTGGAGCTCTCTGTGACCTTGGGTGGCCTTGAGGGCACCTCCTCATGCCAACATGGAGGCATCCACTCCTGACCAGGGCCTGTGGACCACCTGCCCGGTGCCAGGTGCTGTCACTCGACCAGCACCCAGCTGCCAGCAGCACTTAGAGCAACATGGGGTGCCGGTGGCTCATCCGGGCTCAACTCACCTCAGTGGGTGAGCTAACGGGGAATATCTGGAAAGACAGACACCAGCAAAGGGGAGAAGAGGAGGAGAAAGGGATGAGTGGGGGGTGGTGGCCAGGGGAGAACATAGGGCCCCCCGGCTGCCCGAGGACAAGCTGTATCCTCAAAACCCAGTTGGCATCATTGAGTTGAGGAATGTGCTTTAAAAACAGCTTACAAGTGAAACACGTCCTGTTCCTGTCAGACCCCAAATGAGGCCAGAGATGGGCAGGGGAGACCAGGCTCTCTCAGGAGGGAGAGACTCCAGGGATCCTCACCCGTAGGACAGCAAGGTGAGGCCGTCCCAGGGCTGGCCCACCTCTGCTCTGTGTGGGGCCTGGGCTATTGAGAAAAGGCAGAGGGTGAGTGACGGGGAGCGTCACGTAGGACGGCGACTCTGTGGAGGGCCTGACAGCCGACCACTTGCCGGAGCCCTGCAGAGAGGTGCAGAGGCGCCGGGAGCGGAGCGGCCACACCTTGAGGTCCTGGCCCCTCCTTCCTCTGAGCCACAGTCGTCTCTAGAGGTCCCCACGCCTGAGAGAACAGCGAGATGGCTCTGTCACAGTCCTGTCCGACAGACTAGATGTAAATGTAGCTCGCTGTTCCTTCCTGACGTAGCTCCTTATCTAGTATGTGTTACTAAATGGCTATTCTGGCAAGGTTGGGGCAGGAAAAGACTTTACTCTAGATGACTGATACCAGGAAGCTTCCTTCGAGAAGATGGTAGCCTGGGAGAGAAGCGTTTGCTCGTTCCCAGAGGGGGTTCCATGGCCGTGAGCTGCTTGTGACCCGGCTGCTCTCTGCCCCCCAACAGCCCCTGACCGCCGCGTCCTGACCAGTGCTCTCCAGTGCCACTGTCCCACTCATTTTCCCCTTTGCATTTTCTGTCATCCGGGTCAGGCAGGTGTTTTTGCCAATTTGACCGCTGCCCATTGTGACGGCCAGAAGTCCCTGTCCCCACACTGCCAGCGCCGGGATTGCAGGTGCAGTGACGCACAGCCAGAGAGCGCGGCTGTGAGCCTCAGGAGCCAGAGCTTGCCGGCGTGCGCTGGCGCCCGGCACCGTCACGCTTAGAGGCGGAGATGTCCTCGCCTGCCCACAGCAGAGCCGTGGTGCAGGGGAAGCCGGGGATGCACTGGCTCACAGGCCCTCACCTGCCCCGCAGGCTCAGAAGAGGAGGGCCCAGCGAGCTAGGGCCTGTGGCCTTGAAGAGCAGAGCCTTGGGGCTCCTGCCTGAGCTCAGAGGAAGTGGGACCTGCCTTCTGCCAAAACCAGAAGGAGTGCGGGGCAGAGCTCCAGAGCTGGGGCGGACAGGACCCGCCCGCACCCCGAGGCTTCCGACCAGAGGGTGACAGGGACAGTGAGGAGCTGCAGCCCTGTCTTCCTGGGGATACAAGCTCCGTGAGGTCGCGGGTCTCGCTGTTACTCCTAGGTCCCCACCTGGGACCCGGAGAGCTCGGGCCCAGCTCCCTCGCCCCTGCCTATGTCGCCTGGCGAGGGCCAGCTTTCTGCTCAGGGCAGCGCCGCCCCGCGTCCTCCCTCCCTCACTGTGAGGGCCCGGTCTCCTTCAAGAGGCCTGGCCTTCTTGGCCATCATTTCCCAAAGCCGCTTCCTACCCCATCCCCTGGGGGTTAGCGTGTCAGCCGTGACTGTCAGGGGCTGCACACGTCCAGGCCTTCCTTGGGCCGGGAGCAGTGGCCTCACAGCAATGCCATGGAGCCAGACGACATCTCCCTCCATCGGGACCTGTGCCACGCGCGTGCCCCTCTCCCTGAGCACCGTGGGACTCTGTCTTGGTGCAGCAGCTGCCACCAGAGGGCACCACACTGTACTGCAGATTTCTCAAACTTTCCCATCCTGCCTCGCAGAACCCTTCCGCTTTGAGAAGCAATTCCCCCAGCCCCGCCCACCTGCACCTGCCTGGTCTCCTCGTCCAGGAGTTTGACTGCTCTAAGCGCTCCCTGCAGGTAGGCTCACCTGTGGGTGACCAGCGTATTCCCCTC